ATGCCCTCAGTGCCTTAAGTATACTCAGATTCCACTAATTGGCAAAAAAAAAAAAAATCAAAAACACTGAAGTATAGAAATGAATTGTTTTTGTTACAGAAATGAAACAGCGAGCTGAGAATTAAAGGTCCTAAAATTAATCACATATGCACAATCATCAAAATAAACACGCTTATGAGGTCACAACCACTAAAGTTGGGTCTCCTACTAACCCTTCCAGGCGCCCTGAAGGCATAGTGGGATATGTGTAAGGTTATGTGCTGACCACGAGGTCAGCAGTTGCAACCCACCAGCCACTCCTGGGGAGAGAGGGGTTTTCGGGGCAAGTTCTCTTCCGGCCTATGACCAGAACAAGGCCGCTGTGAGTCAGAACCCACTTGATGGCTTCCTTCAGAGAGATCCCCAGCAAAACTCCTAACTCCTGACCTTTCTCCCAGTTTGGGTGAAAGGTGACGGTGAGAATTATGTGGGCTAGTCTGAATACCTCCTTTATAAGTCCTGCATGTGGTAGAGCTATGTGGTATCTCTTGGTGCCGCCCCCCCCCCCAAAAAAAAGTAAAACCCCTTCTTTCCAGTCTTTCACGTGAGCACTTAAATATCTTCACTCATGCCAACTGTCCAAATTAGGCTCACCATAGATGGGCTCTGATGGCATGGGGGCAAAACGTGGGTCAGAAATCAAATTCTCAGAAAGTCCAGACTCCCTGAGCCAGTGGAGACAATTACTATGAGACTATTTAAGCCTTAAAACAAAACTATCCCCAGAGGCCACCTTTTAGCAAAATAACAGATGGACTCACAGAATAAAGTCTATCACTCATGAGTATGGTGCGCCAGTGAAACACAACAGGACATCTATATGAGACCGAAAGGCCAACAATGATGCTTCCTAAAGTCAGGAGAAGGGATTAGGGACACTAGAGCCCTGGAAACAGAACAACCAATCATTTGTGTAGAAATTGCCAAAAGGGGCCCAAATTCACCAAAAAATGCAGTAGTATATTTTTAATCTACTCATTATTTACTGTACCAGCAGCCATTGAGCTCATTCATCC